ATTACTGTCAGATGGAGGAACGGTCCAGGTTCCCATGCGGTCTCCACTGACATTGTATGTGTGAAAGAATGACCATTACCCAGTGGCAATCAGAGTCCCTGATCCCTACTCAGTCTTCTCTGAAACCACCCTGACAGGATGTCTGGGGCACCTCATTAGAACTTGGGAGGGGGGAAGTCTGGGATCTCCACTTTGCCTTCACTGGTGAGGGTGGGATCTCATGTTTTTCTGTGGTATTTGGCTGAAGGAGAGCAGCTATTGTTTAATTTTTTTCTGTCTTGCTAGGTTATCCCTTTCTTAATTCTTTGGCTAGATAGAACATGTTTTTGTGGTTGTTTAGTCTGCACTTGTTGGCATTACTGAGTTGTCAGCTTCTTTGGCTCCATGTCTGGGATATTTGTGTAAAAGGCCAAAAGACATGGTATTTCTGGGATCCCATGGTCCGTAGCCATCTGCCTTCTTTGTCTCACTTTTCAGCATCTTATTATGTAATATACAGGTTTCTTTTAGTTGTACTTAGGAGAAGATACAGGGAAGAGTATGTCTACTTCAGCTGACCAGAAGTGAAAGCCCAGCTTAGTGAGTTTTTTATTTTGTTTTTAAACATCTAAAAAGTTCAGCTAAAATGTGCATGTTACTGCTATAAATTCTGTGGTTGAATATTTTGAAGTCAGTTCTGCTATTTGGGCGTAAATGTGATTTACCTCTTATCTTTTCGGAGGACGCTGTGCAAAAATATTTCTGTGTCTTCTATGGCAATAGCTTTAGAGAGTCTGGTATATGACCAAAAAAGTAGGGAAAGAGCTCCTAATTTCTCTCTTTTTTAAAACGCACTGGAATCCAGCACTAGAACAAGAGAGGCTACATGATAAACACAGAATAAAGCCCCCAAATTTTAAATATTAACATCTGGTCACATGTTTAAGGAAATGAATTGCATTGTACTATGGGCCTAATTAAAGGAAATAGGCTCTTTACATGCATTAATTGATGCCTGAAATATTTAAGCAACTTTTTGAATAGCAATTTAGCAATACTTGTCAAAGTTTAAAATTGCTCACACCTAGTTTAATTTAATCAATCAATAATAAATAGTAAAGATAGAAAATGTTTTATGCACTGATAGTCACCACAATGTAATGTTTAACAGTCCAAATTAGAACATTCTACTTTTAAACACTGGAGAGTGAAAAGGGGAGACAGAAGAACACTTGACACATTTGAATTGCAGTGTTGGCAAAGGATAATAAATATACAACCAGAATGTTCCTTAGAAACAAGGATAGTGAGACTTTGTTTTCCTTACTTTGGACTTGGCACCGGGAAAGGCCAATTGTATAAAAAGACACCCCAAACCTCTTTTTCATATTGTACCACTATTATTGCTACCCTTTTCCAAAATATTCAACCACCATTAACATAAAACTCAACGTCCTCCAAACAAAAGTCTTTCTTTGCCCTTCTCTTTCACCCCTCATAACCACTGCTCTTATTCTCCTTGATTTGACACCATTTTGTCTTGTTCAGTTTCTAGAGCTGGGAATACAAATGTCCTTACTCTGTTATCTTGTAGCTACCATTTGTTTTTAAAACCCATTTCTAGTGTTAAATTTGTCCATTCGTAAGCTACTGCTTGGTGCTCCATTCCCATGGCCCTACCCTACTGTCTCCCTTTGCCAGAACTTTCTAATGAAAGGGGCAATGTTCCATAGCCACCGATGGCTTGGTGCTTTCTGTGTACACATGCTTATCACTTATCAACATGGTTAGGTTCCAAAAATCACGTCATTATGTGAAAATTGGTATTATGCAAAAATGAACATAGTATCACAAAATGGATGACTACATCATTACACAACTGACAAATTTTAACATTACATAACTGCTAAATCACATCATTACATAACTGACAAATCACTGAGAATTATGGCCCAATCAAGTTGACACTTAACTGGCAGTCCATAAAGCCATGGGATCTATGAGTGAAATTCAAACCTGCATTCATCCCAGGACAGGAGCAGCCATGGTAGGGGGTGGTGTTATGCCAGAGACCCCTTATCCAGGCAGACGTGCTCACGAAACCAAGCTTCCCTACTTGGGGACTATCCAGGAATTTGCAACCTTGAGTAGAGCGCCATAGAAAAAGGGATGTCTTTATGCCCAGTTGGCCATTTCTTTGGCTCTGACCTGGGTACTTTAGATCTTGCACTGGCCCTTTGTCACCCAGAGTTGCCCTAACAATAAGATGAATTGGGTCGGGGCCTCACTACTGGCAGATCTCATACTTTTGGCAGCTGGGAAGGTAGTCAGTGAGATAATTGAAGTAGGGGTCAGAAGTAGATTCTTAGATGATAAAAGTAATCCCATTAAACAAGATTGAATACCCTCTTTCTCCTCCACCATTGGCTGCCATGTGTAGCCATTCCATACCAGTCTTTGTAGCCTGTCTTTCCTTACAGGAGAGTCCCATGGCATGAGAGAGGCCTGGGACAACTGTTGCTTGTTAAATTTAATTTCAAATAAAATGTTTAAATTTAAAAAAATATTTAAAATCATTACTATTACTTTCTTTCTTTTAAGTGAAGGAAAAGAAGATCCAAACTTTGGAAAGAGAGCCTAAGTCACATGTTGCTGTTGTTATTAAGTACCGTCAAATCAGTTCTGACTCAGACTTTCCGAGGAGCAGCTGGTGGGTTTGAACCACCAACCTTGAGGTTTAAACTGACCTTGCAGTTGAGTGCTTACATGTAATTGTTGCTAAAAGGCCCCAGAACTGTCTCTGATGTGCTGTCAGACTTGGAGCAAATCACTGAACTTCTGTAGCCTGTTTTCCTACATCATAAAATAAAAGGGAGGGACAGGCAATTCAGAGGCCCTTCCAGTTCTAAAATTCTGATTCTGGTAAGATTAAAGTTACTATGCATGTGTTTTCCCGTGACGGCACAAGGGCTTGTGTAGTTAAAGAGCTTTGGAATACCTCATTTTGCTCAACTTGCTACCCAAGTTTGCCCCTCTCTTGGCAGATGCTTTGATTAAAAAAGAAAAAACTCACAATGGTAACTTCCTGCCTTCCTTTTCAACTGGTGGAACAAAGCGTGTCATTTTCAAAACACCAAGTACACTGCTTTTTGCTTGGGCCTGGATGCTTTCAACAATTTCTCTAATTAAATTTTCTAGCAAAGGAAAGAAAACAAACAGTCCAAGGACTCAAGAGAAAAACACTGTATTCTCCTACTCTATAGAACACTGTCAACATCTGAATTTGGCAAGAGAACAAAGGTCTGAAAAGCGATTTCATTAAGAAAAATGCTTAAATAGGGAAAGTAACTTTGAATACTAGGAACCTACCTCTGCAAGAAGGCAAAAAGTCTTGCCAGGATCAAGCACATGTAAACATCTTTATTAAATAAGCAAACCCTTCATACAAAAGGTGGGGTGAGGGAAACATGCCTACGTAGACAAAAACAACTGCTCTTTTATTTTGCTTCACCAGTTTTATTGGTCATGTATCCAGAATACATTATATAAATCTTTCAAAATAACTAGATATTATAAGAATAGTTTATAATCCAGCTCTGATTGCACAAATACTTGACACAGGAAAACCATTTTTACAAATACGTGTTTTCTTATAAGAATACTTTAATAAAGAAATTAAGTCTCTATACATCTTACAACAAATTTTATGCGACTTTTATCTCCTGTTTGATCATCAGTTCAGGTTTTGGTTTCTTTTTTTTTTTTTTACAACATGTCCTTCACATCCAAAAAACTAAATCACAATTTGTTTCTTCTCATTTTCAACTACTGAGATTCACATTGTAAGAGTTTCTTTTCTTAATCTTTCTGATCAGAAAGAATTAATGTATTCAGTCTTAAAGAGGTTATTTACACAATATTCCTTCTAAAATATAACCCTGTTCTTGGCCAATCATTGACTTTGGTGGATCATCTTTTGACTTCTCATCTAGGCTAGCTCAGATCCTAGTTTCTGCCCCACTGTATCGAGCAAAAGGGGTAAGTCTTTACATTACTAATAGCTTCTAAACTACACAAACAAGATCTTGGAAATGAGTTAAATACATAGTGTTGCTGTTTTTAAGTGGCATCAAATCGGTTCTGACTCACAGTGACCCTAGTGCCGACAAGCAGCTGGTGGATTTGAACCACCAACCTCGTGATTCGCAGTTCAGCGCTGATCCTATAGCACCATACCAGGAGTCAGGCTAAACATTTGCAACTGATTAGAGCAGAAAGCATTGTAAATTCCAGGTCTCTCTCTTATTGAACACATAAAACAAATAAAGTATAAGGATGTGGCAGTAGCTTTATAAAGTACTGAAAAACTGAAAAAAGTTAATCACTTAGATAAGCGGTGAATCATTTCTACACTGCCAAAAAAGTACAGAATCTTGTACTCTCTGACCAATAGAACTCAACACTTGCCATTCTTATTAGGCTTTGGCTTTGAAATAGCCTTCAAAATATCCACTTGCCCAGAGCAAGTAATTATTTAAGCCAGATGACCTTTACAGAACACAGACCAGGTAAATCTGAAGAGACAGGACCCAGTGGGAGAAACCTTGGCATTCACTCCACTCTTTCACTGTTAAATGAAACGAGCCCACTTGGCAAGGCTTACAGTCTTACTTTTCAGGGAGCATGAACTAAAACTAAGAGACTAGTAGTAGTCTACAGTCAAATTCAAGTTCCTGAGTACTCGGTTCTAAGTATCCAACATTTTAAAAGCATTCTTTCTTTCATCAGGCCCTTATCCAATAAGATGTTTAACAGTACTGAGGGATTGTTAAATGGGACGATAAGTCCCATTTCTCTTCACTTTGATTTCTCTAGATTTTGCTTTCTCAGCCCAGTGTAACAAGTTGCTACCAAAATACTGCAGCAAGAGTTGGGAATGAGTTCTTTTGCATTATGGAAAGTATTCAATCACATTATAACGGGTCACATTTGCATATAGCTAGGAAATAGCCAAATAATGTCTACTGCATGGATTTTGCAAATTCAGCATAGTCAATATATCCATCATTGTTCTTGTCATCATCTCTCAAAATAGCATCTATGAAGCCAATCAGCTCATCTTCATTCATTGGTGGTGCACTTTCACTCTTTTCCTATAAAATACAAATTAGATAATGATGAGGTACACACATTTTACTGGAAGAAATGCTTAGCTGATGCCCATAATGCCCAAGCCTGTACGTGTCCAGAAACTCTTTAGATACTGTACACAGTTACTTCTAGGGATCCACAAACCCATCTACCAATCCTCAACTCATAAGTCAATGGAGAAATTACACTTGCTAGTTAAAAGGAAGATGCAAAGAAGGCCTATGTTTATTTTTTTAAATAACTTTTGATTCTTTTCTAATTACAGAAGTAACACATAAGTTCACTGGCAAAACCTGGGTCTGGCTGACACAGAATTATGGATTTCGTAGAGCCCATGACCAAGCAAGCCCTTTCAAGAGTCAATTCTGTGCAAAGTTTGCCCTGTTCAAGTGTAAACGATGAGTCACTGGGCAGCACCCTGGCGTCAGAGCAAGCAGAAGGCAGTGCTTACTAACGTGTATTACCTTTCTGACGTCTCAGGTGGACGTATTTCCCCTGCTCCTAGAGCAGATGTAGTGTGCTCACTGCAGCTCACTCCGAGCTCTGCCTTTTGCACATCTCTCACCTCTGCCCATTCTTTTCCCATGGTTACCGCCCCCCAACCCCCACCTTGTCACCTACCAGGACTGTTACTTCCTAATTCTCTTCCCTAACTTCAGTCTCTTCTCACACCCATCAGTCTACCACCCACCGCAAAGGATCTTCCCCAGACTCTGCTCTAGTCAGGTCATCCTGTTGCTCAGCACTGCCTGTGGCTCCCAGTACCTCCTGAGCAGACCCAAGCCTGCCTGCCCGACAGTCTGTTTAATCGCATCCTCTTGACAGAGGCCCAGTGGGAAGGACTTTAGATCTGGAGACAAAAGATCTCAATTTCTATTTTCTCACCTAGAAAGTGGGAGCAGTGATACCATCTGTCCTTGCCTACTTACAGGGCTGTTACAAAGATCAAGCAAGATAACCTACCTGAAATCACTTTGTAAACTACACAGCTCTGTACAAAATAGCAGAGCAACCCTCAGCTGTCTCTTAGTCCCCAAACCCTCGGCCTCCTGCTAGGCCATTCTTTTCAAATGTCTCTGCTGTCCTACATTTTGAATGTGACTTATCTTTTGAGCACTGGCTCTCAAGCACTGGTGTGCAGCAGAAATGCCCACAGCATGGCGGTTTCTGCCTCAGCGGGTCAGCCTTTGCAGGAAGGACCACTGGACAGGAAAAGAAGCCTAACAGTGCAGTGACTAGACAAAGGAGAAGCAGTTCATGGCCAAGGCTGGTCATCAAGACTGAGGGCTGACTGACCAGAGGAGGCCTTCAGAAACACTGCCCACCAAGCCGCTGCCTGACCTACCTCCTTGTGCACATGCGTGAGGGCTGTGGAGAGTTCTAAACCATCAAGCAGATTATTGCCGTCGTAATCGTGCATTTTGAAATAATGGAGCTGCAGTTCTTGTGGGGACATCTCCTCCTCTGGCTTATTGATGACACCTTCTAGATGCTCCATGATATGCCTAAAAATCGACAGTCACACTCAGACCACAGGAGACTCTAGGCAGAGACAGGGGGATTGTGTGGAAAACTACAGGACTCTGAACAGCCCGGAAACTTGAATTTCAAAATAAGAAACTGTGACACCACATTCAAGGATGACAGAGACAAGGCCCTGAATGGAACAGCAAAATGTCAAATAGTTGATTTGTGCTATGCTGGTAAGATTATGGGTGTTTTTCCCTTTTTATTATTAGCATGTTGCTAGAACATTTTGATGTTATCAACTTTAAAAAAATGTTTTTTAAACAACTCAAGGATTGAAAATATATAATACAGTATAATGTCTATGGCTAACTAAGCCAGGACAAAGGCCGCAAAACAAAGGATTTCATGTTTGAATGTGAAGTCAAAAAACGTCTTCTCACAGTTAAGAAGCCTTAGCTCCAGTGCATTCTGCCACAATGACTCTGTGTGTGTGTGTGTGTGTGTGTGCGTGTGTGTGGTGGGGCTCAGGGTGCTCATTTGTAATGTGAGAATGATAAAGAATACCTGACTTCCAGATGGCTATAGGATAAGCATTGGACTGCGAACCACAACATCAGCAGTTCGAGCCCATCTGCCACTCTGTGGGAAAAAGATGAGGCTCCTTGCTCCTGCAAAGATTTGTAATTCCAAAAACCTGTCTAGGTCACTATGAGTCAGAATCTAATTAATGGCACTTAACAATAATAAGGAATAAAAACATCCTTGGAAAATGTCAAGGAGCCATTTTATCAGAAACAAAGAAAAGAGGAGTATATGCCATAGCAGCCGGCTGCAGCTATGGGTGACAGGGAGGACCCTGGACCACAACCCGGTGGAATACATACTCTTGGTTGTGCACTGCGTTCTTATCCAGGCCCATGTTGCCAGCATGTGAGAAGCTGGCCCCAGGTTGTTCAGCCCCGATGCCTGGGGCACAAAGGCCCCAAAGCAGGCCACACAAGAAGAAGGTTCTGAGCAGCTGCAGGGATCTCATGGTCACGGGTACCTAGGGGCAGGGAACACAGAAGGGAAGGTTTCCTTCAAGACAGGCACAATGCATTCCTGGGCAACCTGCTGAAGCAGCCAGACTGTGGCCACTTCTGGCACTAGACTGGGGAGGACCTGGGCCACTACAGGTCCCTGTCACATCAGTGGGGACGGGGACTTTTCCCAAAGCACCTTCTGTTTGCCACAGTTCAGTAAAAGCTTAAAAGGATTCAATGATTATTCCTGCTTACAAAAAGCTTAAATTCTGGTGAGAAGAATATGTGCTTTCTGCCTGGAGAGTTAATAAAGGCAGAATGTGAGAAATATTAAAGAAAAGTAAGACCCTCTTCAAATTCAATGAAAGAACTTTCCTCTGGATGAAGGGACAGCAGAGAAGGTTGACCTGACCTATAAACACATTCAAACCCCAAAAGATAGAACAGATTATGATGGATAACAAGGGCCAGTGATTTCTAAAGGGCCAACTAACGCCTCCCATACTTCGTACATATTGTCAGGAAGGACCAGTCGCTGGAGAAGGATATCATGTTTGGTAAGGTGGAGGATCAGAGAAAAAGAGGAAGGCCCTCAGCACGATGAATTGGCAAAGTGACAGAATCGTGAGGTTGGCCCAGGATCGGGCAGTGTTTCATTCTGTTGTGCATACGGTCGCTATGAGTCAGTACCAACTCAATGGTACCTAACAACAACAACTACAAAAGCCTACACTCCCAAAGCTACAGTGATAGAGATAAAGCAGAAGGTACTGGATCTAGCCTTACACACACAAGCACACACACAGCTCAGCTCAGAAACCACTGCACCTCTGCTCTCTGTTCCTGGGGCTGGGGGTTCAAGGTGCTGCAGTCCCTTTCTGCCGATTCTCAAAGGCTCTGTAGAGCAGGGTCTTGGGACTATGCTGTCCCTACAGTACTCAGAAATAGTCCTTAAGCCCATTTTGTCCAGCAGCAGCAACAGCATCTCCCATAGTCCCTTGCATGCTTACTTGCATACATTGTTGTTGTTAAGTGCTGTTGAGTTGGTTCCAACCCATAGTGACCCTTTATAGGGTTTCCGAGGAATAGCTGGTGACCTGGAACTGTGGTACAACCCGACTTTGCAGTCCAGTGCATTGATCCACAACACCACACCAGGACTCCATATACAACTTCTAAAAAGTTGCATCTAGTCTTCCTACTTAACAGGGATGTTATAATACAATCTGTCAAATTTCATGGTAAGAAACTATATTCAATTAAAAAATTATGAAAAAAGAAGCAGGATAGAAATAATGCACTTAAAAAGAAAACAACCCACAAGGTTGGCAGTTTAAACCTACCAGCTGCTCCTCAGAAACCCTATACAGGGTAGCTATGAACTGACTCGAAGGCACTTAACAACAACAATTTAAGTATATTTCACATACAAATGACTAAAAAGTATTGACAAAGATTATCTTTTGAATCATGACATTGTGGGTGATTTTAATTTTCTTCTTTATATTTTTCTATTGTTTGTAGAATTTCTACCATAGTCTTACTTTGTATAGGACAAGCTAATAAATTCTAGGTATTAACTGTAACCTACCCCACAGTTTTGTCCTAATACTATCAAGTATTGTTGTTGTTGTTGTTAAGTGCCATTGAGTCGGTTCTGACCCATAGCGACCCTGTATAGGGTTTCCGAGGAGCAGCTGGTGAGCTTGAACCGCCAACCTTGTAGTTCAAATGGCTTTGCAGTCTGGCGCATTAACCCACAGCGCCACACCAGGACTCCAGTATTGGAGGGGAGTAAATGCAAGGGTTGTCAGGTTTCCAGTCAATTCTCATCTACAGAAAATAATTTAGGAATAAGAAACAGCATTTCCATTTTAATCTCAGGAGGGTGTCTAGAGCCTGACACAGCCACTGTCATACTTAGTACTAGAAGACAGGGTTTCCTGTTACTGTCAGCAGGCCTCATTCAGATCACACTTCTGAAGGTTATAGGACAGCAGGAATCAGCAAGGGGCTGTGGTGCTCTTCCTATAGGCTTCCAAGTGCTTGTCTTCAGGTAGGCTCCAGTCTACTGCACATGACAGCTGGGAACACTATCTTAAAAATGGCCCCATTAACTGTCAGGGCCCCTGGCTAGATGGGGCTCTGTAAAAGCAGTGGCTTAGTCCCCCATTTCTAGCATTTAGCACGGTGCCCGGCACAGAGGCTAGGGATTCACTGGCCCTTGCAGGGGAGCCTCCAAACCCTTCACACAGATACTACCAAGTTTGGCGTTACTATAAATTGAGGGATATAATGGAGGATGTTGTTGTTGTTGTTAAGTGCCGTCGAGTCGGGTCCGACCCATAGCGACCCTGTACAGGGTTTCCGAGGGTGTAAATCTTTACGGGAGTAGAAAGCCTCATCTTTCTCCCAATGGAGGATAAGCATTGGACTACACACAAGGTTGATTTGAACTGCTAGGTCTGCGGTTCAAACTCACCAGCAGCTTCTCATGAGTCAGAACCGACCCCACGGCACTTAACAACAACAACATAATTGAGGGCATAAAAGTTTTTTGGAAATGGCTATCAAAGAGGCAGCTGAGCTAAGTAGCCACTGAGCCCACGGTACTGCTTCTACAGCTAGGTGGCTGGATGTTTAGTATAGAACATCCATTTGTGGGGGAGGGTGTGTGTTGAGAGAGAGTAGGTCCTATTCAGGTAGTAACAAAAGACAACCAAGTGATTAATAATACAGTAACCATCAATACAAAATCATCCCTTCTCCCAAGGAGGCAGGATAAATGTCAAGAACCATTGATTTGAAACTCATGCTAGTTTGGCTTGCTGTGGAAGGTTTCTAACCACTGGAACACAACAAAAGCCAAATCTACAGACACTGAGGGGAAAATCCTTCAAGGCAATGCCACGAGACCCAGAGTCTGACAGCCACCTCACAAATTAAACTGTTGATATCCAAAAGGAAACGCAAGCAACTTTCCTCTGCCTAATCAACAGACTGCATCATCCGCACACCCTAGCTTCTCAGTTCCAGGCGACGAGCAAACAGCCTGTCAGATAAGCCCAGCAGTTTCTAAGCTCACTGGCTCTCTTCAGGACACTGTGAAGGCCAGGCTGAAGAAAAATCTCAGCAATGTTCAAATTTCTGCCCAGAGATTTCAAAACACAATCCATGCCTTGAAACATCTTGAGACATCCCTCACAAGAAGCTCCCTGGGAGGGGAGCACTGAGCGATCACCGGGCCAACTGCAATAGGGCTTTACAGGTACATCAGTCTTTAAGAATGGTGAGCTACGCCCATGAAAGGCCTCCCTCGCCAGGTCCAGTGTGGCTAGCTAGCCTGGTGCATCCCACTGCACCCCACCACACTCCAATCTCACCAGCATCCACTCACTGCCCTGTTAGCCTCTTCGTGTTCCTGAGCCATTGCTCCCACCACTTCCATATGTCTGACCTGCCTCTTCTCCCAGGCCAGGTTCAAATGGCACCTCCAGATTCTTTCAGATAATTCTAATTACCTTCCTCTAGCCTCATTCTGGAGTCCTGGTGTGTTGCTGAAGAAAAAGCACTGGACTGCAAACCATAAGGTTGGTGGTTCAAACATACCATCTGTTCCTTGGAAATCCTACACAGGGTTGCTATAAGTTGGAACCAAGGCGGCGACACTTAACAACCACAGTAGGCTCATTCTGGAGTACTGGTGTGGTGCTGTAGGATAAGGTATAAGGTTGGTGGTTTAAACCCATCAGCCGCTCCTATGAAACCCTACACAGAGTTGTTGAGTCAGAACTACCTGACTCCACAGTACTTAAAAACAATTTAAAGCCTCATTATGCAGCTTCGTACACTCATTTGGTCTTTGCTGTTTAACTGAGTTTACACTTTCACATATGAGTTGTTCCCTATCACACAGGGTTCTAGCGTGAGCTGGAACAATAACTTCCCTTTGTAGCCCTGTTGCCCTTTGCTTTGGCCTGGCCCACCTTTCCTTCTCATTGTTTGATTGGTCCTATCAGTTGGCCAGAGTTTGCAGTCAGTCTTCCTCCCTGTAACAACCACAGCAGCTGCTGTTTGCAGCCTTTCTCCCATGCTGGGGCCCTCAGTTACTAACGCAAACTTAAAGCACCTATGCTATAGGATAAGCACTGGACCTCAAGGTCAGTTTAAACCACAAGATCAGCAGTTCAAACCCACCAGCTGTTCCTCGGTAACCCCATACAGGGTTGCTATGAGTCTGAATACACTCAACAACATGTAACAACAACCTTCTTGGTGTGATGCTGTGAAGTCAGCACTGGACTACAAACCACAAGGTTGGCAGTTCAAACCCACCAGCTGTTCTTTGGAAACCCTTTACAGGGTGGATATGAGTTAGAATAGACTCAACAGCATTTAATAACAACAACGCTCACCAACATCTGAACATCCTGTACCCAGAGCCAAAGAAAACCTATGATGGTACTTTCCTATGTACTGATGTCTACTTCTGGACTGAAGACAACGGAATTGTCATGTTCCTAGGCCAAAGAAACCCCTACATGGGTTGAAGGTTGACAACTGGATCTGAAAAGGCCGATATTTAATAGACACTTCGTGAGTCCAAACAGCTGCCTTGCTTCATTTGTACATTGAATACACACTAACAGTTACAACTGACCCAGGCAGACCCCTCTCATCCAGACTAGAGGATCCGTGGGATACAGCGGAGCCCGAACCCACAGCTGGAATAAGACTAGAAGATTATAAATGTATTCAAAGGATAGTGCCTCCCTATAACAGAAAAAAAGAAATATAATGTAACTATACCGAAAGCCCGAAGGAACTTGCTCCCATCTAGGAACTGAAAAAAAAAAAAAAAAAAAAGGTTCAGTAACACAAGTATGCGTCAGGAAAGGCCTTGCCAGCTGTGTTCAAAAGCTTGGAAAAACAATGGGAATCTGTGTAGGGGGAGAGGCTGGTGGCTTCATCATGTTAATGTTTAAAGACCATAATTTTGGCGTCTCTAGACATAAAAAAACTACAGATCAAAAAGTGGTGCAGGGAACCAGTTAGACAGCTACTGAGGTAGTGAGAGGTGATAGTGACTTCAGCGGGCCTAAACGTAGTGTAATGTATGTATCCAAGGGAGCATTGCAATGGATTTGATGTGGGTGGGTTAAAGTGCGGAAGAGAATGGCGCCCAGGTTTCTGGTTTGGGCAAGTGACGGTGCCTGCCTGGACTGGGAATACAAGAGGAAGTCAAATTCCCCCTCGTTGGGCAGGGCAGACCCTGATGTCCCCCCGGAGGGAGCTAGGGTACTTGAGGCAGGCCGAGTCACGCCCAGATCCGCGTGCCCCTCGGCAGGGAGCAGCGTCTTGCTAGTCCGGAGCCAGCGAAGAGGAAAGAGAATGGGCCTGACTGGGCCATCTGCCTCCAAAACCTGTAGCGGGGTGCACACGTTTCTGCTGAGTAGAGAGGTCCTGCTGTCCATCGGCTAAGCGCCGGGAGGAGGACGAGGACCGAGACTCCCACCTAGACCGTCCTACCTCCCACACTGAACCCCAGAGCCCGGATTCCGCCCCGTTGCAGACGCCTGACTTTCACAGCTTGTGCCTCTGCCGCCAGGCTCGGGCCTCAAGACTCCTAAGTCCACTCACCGTCGCTGACCCCAGCCGCCAAATGTTTCACCCTAGACGCGAAACCCTCGAGGTTGAGCCTCGCCAGGACCCGTCCTAGACGCTTTTCGCCAGGAGCGGTCTGCCCCGCCCCACTCTGTGCGCACGCGCGATCCCTCCTGCCCGCCCATTGGTACGGCGGGGCCCCGCCCCCTGTCCCACCACCCGACTTGCTGACGGCTCTGGTGAGTCCACGTGTAACGGGCGGGGGTCCAACACAGGTCAGGCGGACTCTATTCCTTTATCTGCCCTTCCAGGTGGTGACTTTCAGCTTCAGCCAAAGTTGGGCCGTTGGAAACCCAGAGAGGAGGGGCCCGACAGGTTGCTAGGCAACCGCAGAAGCCTTGGGGCACGTCATTTAGTTTGGGATGTGAGTAATCTATCCAGATTGGTCGGATTCCAAAACTGGTTTCCAGTTCCGCCTCCACCTTTACAGGTGTTTGGGTTCCTCCGACTGCAAGTTGGGGAGAAAGTTTAATCGGAATCATTATTTCTCTCTAAATGATGCATCTAGATGCTGAAGCTTCTCTGGGAATAGAGTAGAATGGCTCTGGAGTCTGCCGTGAACCCTGTTTGCAAAATTGCCCTACTCCCTAACTGCCTCAATCCACAAGCTGCCCATCTTCAACACCCATTCGCGTCCCTACACGAGTCCCACCAAGTCTATGTCCGGCGACCCAATTGAGACCCAATTCCTCCCAGTTAATAGGACGTCTGCCCATCCGTAGGCAATAATTTTCTGAATCACTAATTTGAGAGGGTTTTTTTTTTTCCTTTTTAATTGCTGTTTAACTTTTCACTTGTTTGTGTCTTGGGTTGTTTTTTAATTCTTTATGTTGTTGTTGTTAAGCGCCGTCAAGTCGTTTCTTATAACGACCCCGTATAGGGTTTCCAAGGAGCAGCTGGTGGGTTTGAACTGCCGACCTTGTGGTTCAACCGGACTTTGTGGTCCAATGTTTTATACCACAGCGCCACACCAGGACTCCTTGATTTTTATACGTATAATTTGGTGATATTAAGTTTCACTATATTGTGCACTATATTGTGCAACCATCATCACTGTCTTATTTACAGAATTGTTCCTTACCCTTTACAGGAACTCGTTGCTCCTTAAGCAATAATTGCCCTTTTCCCTATCTCACCAGCCCTTGATGGTGGTGGTGTTAGGTGCAAATTCATAGCGACTTATGCACAACAGAACTAAACCCTTCCTGGTCCTGTGCCAACCCCTCCATCATGGCTACACTTGAGCCCATTGCTGCTGCCACTGTGGCAGTCCATCTTGTTGATGGTCTTCCTCTTCTTCGTCCACCCTCCACTTTACCAAGAATGATGTCCTTCTCCAGGGACTGGTCCCTCCTGATAATAATATCTGAAGTATGAAAGAAGTCTGGCTTCTAAAGAGCATTCTGGTTTTACTTCTTCCAACTCAGATTTATTTGTTCTTCTGACAGTCTGTGGTACTTTTAATAATCTTTTCCAACACTAAAACTCAAATGCATCAATTCTTCTACAATCTTCCTTATTCGTTATCCAACTTTCACATGCTTATGAGGTTATTGAAAGTACCAGGGCTTGGGTCAGGCACACCTTAGTCCTCAAACAGACATCTTTCCTCTTGAACATTTTAAAGTGATCTTGTGCAGATTTGCCTAATGCAATCCTTTGGTAACCAATAATAATCGTTGATTTGCTTGTTTATATAGTTCTTAGGTACCATGGTGTGTGCGCCAACTCACAGTGTCCTTATGCGTAACAGAACAAAACATTGCCCAGTCTTGTGCCATCCTCACAATTATGTTTGATCCCATTGTTTCAGCCACTGTTCATTCTGTCTTGTTGGAATTTTCCTCTTTTTCACTGACCCTCTACTAAGTATGATATTTTTTTCCAGGTACTGGTCCCTCCTGGTAATGTGTTCAAAGTATTCATCCAAAGGACAGATATGTTGGTTCTTCTGACAATCCATGGTGCTTTCAATCTTCTTTCCAACACATTAATTCAAATGCATCAATTCTTCTCCAGTCGTCCTTACTCATTTTCCAGCTAAAACATGCTTATGAGCAGTTTGAAAATGCCATAGCTTGGGTCAGGCATACTTCAGTCCCTAAAGTAATATCTTTCCTCTTTAGCACTTTAAAGAGGTCTTTTGCAGCAGATTGCCCAATGTAATACTTCTTTTAATTTTTTGATGGCTGCTTCCATGAATATTGATTGTGGATCCAAGTAAAATGAAATTCTTGACAACTTTATTCTTTTCTCTCTTGAACATAATGTTGATTATTGGCCCAATTGTGAGGATTTTTGTTTTCTTTATATTGAGTTGTAATCCATATTAAAGGCTGTTATTCTTTCATCTTCATCAGCAAGTGACTCAAGTCCTCTTTGATTTCAGCAAGCAAGGTTGTGTTATTGGTATATCGCCTTCTCCAGTCATAATGGCATGTTCTTCATATAGTCCAGCTGCTTGAATTACTTGCTCAGCATACAGATTGAATAAGTATGGTGAAAGGATACAACCCTGCTGCACACTTTTCCTGATTTTAAACCGTTCAGTATCCCTTTGTCTTGTTCTAATGACTGTCTCTTGGTCTGTGTATGGGTTCTGTGTAAGCACAGCTAAGTGTTCTGGAATTTCCATTCTTCTAAATATTACCTGTAGTTTCTTATGGTCCACATAGTCAGATACTTTAGCATAGTAAATAAAATACAAGTAAACATCTGGTATTCTCTACTTTTAACAAAAACCCATCTGACATCAGCTATGATATCCTTCATTCCACGCCCTCTTCTGAATCTGGCTTGAATTTCTGACTGCAGCCATTTTAAAATTATCTTCAGTAAAATTTTACTTGTGTGTGACATTTCTTGTGTGAGACAATTTCTACATTCTAGAATGCGTTTACCTATTCTAAATATTTCATATAAGTGGGATAATACAATATTTGCCCTGTTGTGTCTGTTTTATTTCACTTGACACCATGTCATTTGTTGTTGTTAAGTGCTGTCGAGTTGATTCCAACCCATAGCGACCCTGTATAGGGTTTCCAGGGAGCAGCTGGTGAGCTTGAACCACCAACCTTGCAGTTCAAACGACTTTGCAGTCTGATGCATTAGCCCACAGCGCCATACCAGGACTCCACCATGTCATTTATGTCATTTAGGCTCATCCTTATTGAAATATGCATCAGGACTTCATTGGTCTTTATGACTGGATAATACTCCATTGTATTTGTGACATTTTGCTTCTCCATTCATTTGTTGATGGGCACTTTTGGCTATTGTTACTAGTGCTGTTATGAGGATTGGTGTACACATATGTTCCTTGGTTTTTTCCTTTTCAAATCTAGGACCTTTTTTTTTCTTAATTATGATTCAAGTGAAAGTTTGTAGAGAAAATTGGTTTAACATTCAACAATTCATACACATGTCATTTTGGGACATTGATTGTGATCCCCACAATGTAACAGCATTCATCCCATTTTCTCCCTGTGTTTCCCATATCCATTGGTCCTCTTTCCCATCACTTCCTGCCTTTCTGAGCTTCATTGTTGCCATCCAGTTGGTTCCAACTCATAGCTACTCTGTGTAGGGTTTCCAAGGAGTGGCTGGGGAGTTTGAACCACCAACCTTGTGGTTTTACCCTACCTTGCAGTCCAGTGCTTATCCTACAGTGCCACACCTGGACTCCTGAGCTTTATCCATGGGCCAATGTTGTCTGTCTCCTTTTGTTTCATCTGAATGATTGTTCTAAAGAGCACATGCTTCCCTGATGTTATTGTTTACATTATTTATAATCCTTTGGCTGAAATTTGAGCCCCAAGTGTGAGTTCAGTTCCAGGTCTAAAGGGTGTCTGAGGGCCATCGTCTTAGAGATTGCACTGGTCTCTATCAGACATGATTTTGAGTTTTGTTCCATATTTTTCTTCCACTCTATCCAGGACCTCCTATTGTGATCAGTAAAATAATAACTCTGCTCTTTTCTAAGTAGTCAACAGTGGTAGTCAGGCACCTTCAAATCCTGGTCTCAGGTCTTAGAGGCTGGGTTCACGTGGTCTGTTAGCCCCTTTGTACTGATTGTTTCATGCATCTTTGATTTTCTTCACTCTTCCTTGCTCTGGACAGGGAGAGTCCAATAGTTGCTCCATAGATAGATGTTCACAAGCTTTTCAGACCTTATTTGCTACTCACCTTTGTAGGATGTAGAACATGGTCTGTGGACTATGTGATGCCATTTGACCTTGGTGTCCCCTGAGACTATGGTCCTGAGTCTCCAGGCACAGCAACTCATTCCCTCAAGGTGTTTAGTTATGCCTAAGACATTTTCATAAGTTTACTCCATGTGTGCTCTACTATATTCTTGGATATATTTGAAGCATATTTGTTTCTACATATGTAGAACTATCCTCTGTCAACCACATATACTCATGGGTGTAATCCTATTGAATGTCTTATCTGGGTATTCATACATTGTTGTTGTTAGGTGCCATCGAGTTGGTACCGACTCATAGCGACCTTATGCACAGCAGAACGAAACAATGTCTGATCCTGGGTCAA